AAAAAAAAAAAAAAAAAAAAAAAAAGGAAGTAGTTAAGGGAATTAAACATGTTTGCAAAGGATCCTTCAGACACACTCCCCATATTAGTAGCCAAGGATCTGATGCCTCTTCCGAAAAGGCTACTCTTGCTGGGGGTTGGAAACTAGCTAAACATATTGTGTGTGAAGTGAGGAAGGGAAATAAGGGTCTCCCAATGCCTCTCCAACCCCCCAGAATTCTCCACACCCTTACTTAAGGCTTTTCCAGCTAAGCCTCAAACTTCTGATGTGGTTATCTGGAGTATAGAAATGCATGGGCTGAGTCTGCAAACTTATTGTGCTGCTTCTTGGGGGTGCTACCAAATCTTCCATGCTTCCTCTCTAGGCTGGACTTGTGAGTGCTGTGACATTCCCTCTTTTCTGCCCCCTGCCCCTGGAATTGACTGCATCTGAGAGCTGGAAGCTCAGTGAAGTTGGCTGCCTTTTGCCACATTTCACACCAGTTCCTCAGATTTTGTATCATCTGTCTGTCTTCAGCAAAGTAGCAACTTGGCTGTGCCAGGGGATCTGTGTATGAATGAACTCCAATAAAGAAATCAGCGGTTGCATAACTAGCTTTCAGCTGCAATAGAACGAGCTAAAACATTCCCCTTTGTTTGGGAGGAGGGAGAAAAGATTCTTTTGTTGCTTTGTCTTTCCAGACAATAATCACCCTTAGCTGGATTTCCAATATTGGGACAAAATATGTCTTAAGACGCAACTGACCAGATTATTTTTCTTTCCCTTCTCCAGAATTTCAAACCATGCAGTTTAACAGTGTTGAGCAGGTAGAAGGGTTATACGCTGACTGGCCATTTGGGTTTCCAGGCTTCATAACTTCTTTTAGTGGAGAAATGTTAAGACTTATAAAACTAGGCTTGGCCTGGCCTGGCCCTTTCTTGGGAAGCAGAATAAAAAGAACAGCTGGGGTGGGACTCGATCATTCTCTGGAGATTGACAGAATGGCATTTCTGAGCTGGATGGTCAAGGTCCTTGCTTGTATAGTAAAACACACTGAACTTGTCACAACCTCGGGCCTACTGTCTGAGGCCAACTGTAAAATATCATGTCTAGGGGAGGCTTTGTTTTATGTGGGTTTTTTGGGGTTTTTTTCTTTCTGTGCCCCTGCCCCTTCAACTTGGGATTGCCAGATGGGGAAGGGTGGGCTGAGGTTCCTTCTGAAAAGTTCGTTGTAGCTGCCCTGTAAAAATGGGTATTGCTTATGAAAGCATGGCTTGGCTTGGCTTGGCTTGGCTTGGCTTGATGTTTAATTTTTACAGGTTGCTCGCTTCCTGGAATCTTGTACCTAAAATGTTATCATAGGCCATTCTGGGCAGTTGGGGAAAGACGCCTAGTATAGAATCAGTAGTGTTGAGGAAACAGTGTAGTGATCAATAATGATGCTTTAAACTCTAGAGAGAGAGAGAGAGAGAGAGAGAGAGAGAGAGAGAGAGAGAGGAACAGGCCCAGCAGGGAAATGGCTAGCTTGTTCTGTTGACACCCCAGAAAATGGGGAAGGGAGGAGTGGTTATAGTAAGAGCAGACAAGCTACCAGCCAAATGCTTGGAGGATCTCAGTTTTGGGCAGATGTTACCCATAAGAGACTCTTCCCACTTGTAGTCTCCCACATCTGTCTACCTGTATCTGCCCTGTGTGCTTACACTTGCTAATGTTCTGCACTAGAGCCCAGGGAACTGTTGAACAGGCATGCAGAGTCTCTCCTTGTTGAGAGCACTACCAGAGAAATGCTGCCAGAAAGTTATGTAAATATCTAGCCCAGAAAGCAAAAACATGCCACTAGTGGCCCTCAGAAGCATACCTGCAGCACTGCCCTGCTGTACCCTCTCCTCTCTTTCTCACTGGGCTTTTTGTACTGTTTGCTGATACTAACATTTCTCACTGTTTCTCTTATTTAACAAATTACTCTCTTTGTGCTTCAGGGAAGATGGTGAAAAAAGTCTGTCCTTGCAACCAGCTCTGTAGTAATTATCTTATCTGTTACTTCTGATCCTTGACTGCAAAGCTGTTCATGAGTCTTCCTCTGTCATTAGAGCCTAATCTCTCTGATTCTGTCTCCAGCACAGCACCTGTCTCTGTCATGCTCTCTAATGTGTGTTCATTGTGTTTAACATGTTAATAGGGTCCAGCTCCCTGGGCATATTTACAGATGGATGGGTGGGGAATTAAGCTGCTGCTCTAGGCTTGCTAGGCCTCACCTTAGTTCCGGAGCTGATTGCATAATTCAGTGTTTCACCAGTAGAGCCAGTTGCACACAGTAACATGGTAAGCTTGCTTCTTGTGCAGCTGGCTTGCTCATAGTGTCTCTGCTTGGGGTTTGCCTCCTGTCACCTGACAATTGGAGAGAGACTCCTCCTTACTGTTTAAGATCTAGAAAGCCATTAAATGACATGCCACCAAAGCAGGAAATGTTTAGATATATCTAATTTGGTTGCTGGTCTTATCTAGGGATGCTCTAAATCTTTTGAGAACAGGTACTCAGGGTTGGCCTTGGGGGGTAGGATGAAATTAGGTTGGGGTCACAGGCTGAAGGAAGAAGCCTCACTTTTGTTTCCAATCCTCCTCATCAGACCAGATATGGGGACTTTTGCTGTGACTGAGCAGGACTGGAGGGATGTTATTTCCATTGAATGCTACATGTTTTTAAGTGTGCTCCCTTTCAGACTCTTCTGATGGCCCTTTTTATAGGTTGGGATTGCATCAGGACAGCCAACTAAAATCCAGAATTCCTGAGAATGAGGGGTTTTATTTATTTTGACCACTGTTAAAAATGGGAGCTCTGTAATGTTAGGTTTGATGTCTAACAACACGAACCAATCTGTCTCTGTCCCTCTGAGCCTGAGACAAGAGCTCCCAAGCAAAATTTACCCCATAAGCAAGAGAATCAGGATGTTCATATCACACTGCACATCTCTAGCTAAGTACACCTTGATGTCTCTTGACTAACTCTGTTTTTACCTCTTCCTACCCTGGCTGGGGCGCACTCTTTGGATTAGACCAAAGCCCTCAGAGTGTGTGCTGTGTAATTCATGACCAAAACAAAATGTATGCTGTATAGAAATGTTCCCAGCAGCAGGAGGCAGATTATTGGCCATCAGGAAGGGGTTGAGAGGTGCTAGCCCTTGCATGAACCCGTGACTGGAATGTGACTCGTTTGTTTCGGCACCTTTTTTTTTTTTTTTGAGTACAGTTCTGTTTTGTTTGCCTGTGTAAGTACTAACCTCACCCTTTCACTTTTGTGCTGCTACTTGTTCAATAACTGTATGTTTCAGGCCCCTTGTTAATGTCACACGTGCTTGATATCCTCACTGCTCCATCACCCTATATGATGTGTTCTTTACTGCCCTGTCTGAAGTTATCCTGTTGCACTGTGTTCTGAACTCCCCCTGCACACTGGTCAGGGAGCCCCTTCATCACCACTGGCACGAGGCTTCTTGCACCCACACAGTTAGGCAGTGCTGGTGAAGGGCAGCATGCCTCCTTCCAGCACTGTCTGCTCCAATAGCACCTTGCTCAGTGCCTACAGGAAATGTTCTTTTCCTTTCTTGGTATCCCTTGACAAGAGATCCATTCTCACAGAAAAGCAGAGGCTGCTCTTTCCTAGGTAGAAAGGTTTTGCAGAGATGGTTGGGCACAGAAGTATTGCAGTTGACTAAGCCATAGTCACTGGCTGCAGCTAGTGACTTGAGTGTGTGAAGTGGGCAGTATTTGCTTTGGATTTGGCCTGATTCAGGGGACAGTGATTTGATTCACTGATTCAGATCACTGTCCCAATTCGATTCTGATTCAGAAAATTGGTGATTTGGCCATAGACACAGCTTTTATGTTTGTTTTTTTGTTTTTGTTTTTGTTTTTTTTTCCCCATGTACCTTGAGGTACCAGGTGTGGCTCATGAATGCTGAGATGGTGGGGCAGATGGAGCATCCCAGGGGAGCGTGGGAGGTCCCCTGTGCACTTGGTAGTGGACTGGAAGTAGCTCTGGTCCACTTCCGGGTCCACCGTCGGGTGCGTGGGGGACCACCCGCTGTGCCCTTCTGGCTCGTGATTGGCTGCGTGGGGAACCTTGGGTGCCCCCCTGGACCCAGGAGGTGCCAGTCACCAGGCAGGGGAGGGGGTCCCTCACACACTTTGCAGCAGACCTGGAAGTGGACCAGAACTACTTCTGGTCCACTTCCAGATCTGTTGCTGAGTGCATGGGGGACTCCCATGGGACACTCCATCCGCCCCACTGTCTCAGTGTTCACAAGCCACGCTTGGTACCTCAAGGTACATAGAAAAAACATATAAAGCTGTGTCTATGGCCGAAACTTTGAATCTCCAAATCATATCAAAGGCTTCTGATTCAGTTTGGAGAGACTAAAGGGTCTCCTGATTCAATTTTGGATTCAGAGATTCGGCTGCCATATTGGGCTGAATCTCTTCCAAATTGAATCCGCAACTGAAGCTTTGCACAACTCTAGTAGTGACTCCTTGGTATCTGGTGTAGTGCAGTAGGGAGGTGATGATTCCTCTGCTGGGGTCTTTGGTGCTCTGGAAATGTTTGCCCTGCTCAGATCGAGTTTCCCAGGTGCTGTTTCAGTTCCAGCCTAAAATCCTTGAGGAGACCTTTTAACCCAACTCAAGAGTCAGGTGGCCTACACAAAAGCTTGATTCTACACCGTGTTGAGCATCTTCCGTGGACTTCCAGGTGAAGAAAAGTCTGGTGCCAAGCAAGGGTTCAGAGACTTAGGGTCTGTTCTGGGTTTTCCTTTTGACAAGACGTGGGCAGTAGATTTTTTGGCAGGGGGAGGAGGGCTGTGATTATCTTTTACTGTACCAGTTGCAAGGCTGAAATAAACTTAGACAAGCTTTCGAATGCAAAGCATTTTTCATCATGTCTTGCATTCAAAAACTTGTCTAACTTTATTCCAGCCATGCAGTTGGTCCAGTAAAAGATATGACCCCCAAAAAATCCTTGCCACTCACAATTCTTGGACCTTCATGGCTACATCTTCACTCTAAGACTAGAGTGATATCCTCACCAAGACTACTTGCCCCATTGGTAAATTGAGGATCCCTCCAGTGCTGTTGTGAATCTTGTGTGAAGTGCTCAGATCCCTGCAATCATGGTTGTTGCAGAAAAGTTTAGAACTTGAATGCAGCTCTTTTTGTTCTGCAGTTGTAAATATGAGGCCCAAGGTATATGAGGTTGCACATGACTGAGCTACTTATCACTGTCTCCCAAAGAGTTGCCTTTTCAAATAACTTTCAGCAAACACTCTGGCAGAACTGAAAGCAGCCTGTCCAGTGGCTCCTTATATTGTAGTGTAGTCGATTCTAGATGGGGAGTGGCACCCCCATGTCCATTTTAGGAGCTGCTCTCCTTCCCCTTCAAGCTGCCTTTGCTGTGTACATGTGAAAACACCTTGGATCATGATAATACAGCAACCTTCCAGGAGGTCTCCAAATGAAAGAGCAAGCTTCCTATGAAGTGTACGCTGCCTGCTAGGTGGAGATGGACCCTTGCACATAACTCCCTGGGAACATGAGGCTGGTAGTGGTTGGGTATGACAGCCCTGGCAGTTACTGTTGCTCATCTACATGTGCTTGCTTATAATCTGGGAGGGAACAGCCTTTTCTCCATTCACAGGGTGGAGATGGCTGCACTGTAGAGCAGTGAGGCCTGTTTCTCTACTGCTGCTTCCCTTGTGCTTTGAGTTGGGTTTGAAGTGTGATGTAACAGTGGCTACTACTACTGTTGTGATGTGCAGTGAGAGGACTTTTGCTGCCATGCATCACATGTCCTGTCACTTAACAGTGAAACCAAATTCCACTAATCTCACTTCCAAAAAAGAAATATGTAGGCAGGAGCCATTTCTCTCCTAGACAACTACCACTGCTTGCAGAACTCCTTGGAAAACTCATCTACAAAAACAGTTAATTGAGGCAAATGGCAAAGTGAACCCTTGGAAATCCCACTCCAGTGTGTGCTGGAAATGAAATCTAGAATTCATGTGCATGGCTTTTTAACTTGCGTCTTCATATTTTTTCCACCATTGCCATAATGCTTAAATTCCCTGGGAAAACCGAAATCTTAGTGTAAAGCCACTGTTGTTCCTTTTAATTCCAGGGACCAGCAGCACTAACACGGTTGGGGCTACAGTGAGCAGCCAGGCACCCCAGTCTCAGCCGCCTGCTATCTCCTCCAGCCGAAAAGGGACCTTCACAGATGACCTGCACAAATTGGTAGACAATTGGGCCCGTGATGCCATGAACCTGTCTGGCAAGAGAGCTGGCAAAGGACACAGCAACTATGAGGTGAGAGTCTCTCCTCCCCCTATCCGCTCATTGCCCTCTATTATACCCTTGAACTTTTGGAGCGAGACCTGTTGGTGCTAGCACCAATGCTCACTGAGTGTGTTTTAATACATCTAACTAATGGAAAGCTTCCAAGGAGCCAAACCAAAATGATGCCCTAGTACAGTGATTCTCAACCCTTTTCACACCAGGACCCATTAGCATAATTATCAGCTTGGTACCACTGGCAAGCCACAGCTCCCTAGTCCTGACCCACACGGTCTCTCTCCCCACTCTGGCTGCTGCATCCGGTCCCCTCCCTCTCCAGCTCCTGTGGCTGCTCTCACAATTGCCATGCCTCCGGCTGCGTGCCAGTTCCATGCAAGCTGCCAGTGTTGCAGCCTGCAACGGGAAAGTGCACGATTCCATGGGAGCTCCCTGTGACCCTTTACAATGTTCTTGCGACCCACTTTTGGGTCACGACCCATGGGTGGAGAAGCGCTGCTCTGGTAAAATACTGGCATTTGCTTAAATGTGGAGGTTTCTGCTGCCTCTTCTGTCAAGTACTAAACAGAGGAGAGTTTTAGGTGGTTGTTTTCCTGCATGCAAGAGAGTTGTTTCAGCTACATTATAATAACTTTTTTGGGACTGGATTTTATTTCAGGGCCCTGGAATGGCAAGAAAGTTCTCGGCACCTGGCCAACTCTGTATATCTATGACATCCTCCCTGGGTGCTACACCCATCCCTGCAGCATCAGCTACCTCTTTAGGTCACTTCACAAAGGCTATGTGCCCGCCACAGCAGTACAATTACCCGGCAGCATCCTTTGCAGCTCCATGGAGTGGGACAGGTGGTCCAGCACAGCAGTCCCTCGGCCAGTTCCAGCCTGTAGGTGCTGCCTCTTTGCAAAGCTTCAACATCGGCAGTTTGCAGAAATCTATCAGTAACCCCCCAGGCTCCAACTTGCGGACCACTTAGCCACACCCAGAGACTGAGCTGGGTAGACCCTGGGACAGGGAATGAGGCCTGTATCAATTACTAGTGCTGCAACAAACTAGCTGTTTCTGCCATAGTGGGAATGAGCTTCCCTTGTCCAATCAGTGCTGTCAGCTCTCTGTAAAGAGCCACAAATCTCAAGGGGGAGGAGGGTGATCGACACTTTGTGATGGGACAGTGCTTCTGACTAGATGTTCCTGCTCGTGCGACAAGCGATGAAGATGGATGTCATTTAGTCAAAGAAATCTCGCTGTAAAACTCCGTTCTTGGTTTGAGTCTGAATCCACATGTGCTGGTGGGAGAGTTTAGTCCTAGTTCATGGCTTTAACACAGTTCTCATCTTGTCCTGAAGAATTGAGACCAGGAGAGGAGCTGTCCAAATCCCCTTCCTCTTCCTCTCCCTAAACAATCGTCTTTGGCTCCCAAGTGGTGGGGGACACAAATGGACTTGCAGTGCAGCCCATGCTTGAGATAGGTCATTACTGCTTTAAGTAAAAGATATTAACAGCTTCAACAGCAGCATTAGAGCAATTTAAATTGTTTAAAAAAATTTAAAAAGTTCCCAGCGGACATGTACTTACCATCAGTTTTGATGTGGAAACACTGTGATATATAAATGTTGTTGGACAACAGTAGCTTAAAATGAGTGGAATATAGAGGGTTAAAAAAAGTTAAAAAGTAAAAAAAAATGTAAAAAAAGCTAGCTATATCCTTATACTTATTGGAGACACTTTAACTTTTTCCTTTGTATTTTCATTGTATTAGATAAATAAATGTGAATGTAAAATTGTATAAATTAATGTACTTGAATACTTGTCTGTTCTCCCAGTATGCTTGCTGGATATTTTAGTGCCTTGGACTTTTATTGCTTCTGCAGTTAGCATCACCTTCCCAGCAGACCCCAGTTGAGAGAGGGCAAGCTAAGAGAAGAATGGATTGTTTGTACCTAGTGACCAGGATACCAAAGGGTCAACAAGTTGGATGTGTTGTTATAGTCATAATGTAACAGTCTAGGGTAGGTGTCAGAGGGGAAGCAGTTGAGGCTGTAGGTTGAGAGTTCTGGTGCTGGGGAAAGCTGCCCAAATGGACACATTTCAGAATTGATGGTTCAGTGCTGGTGTGACTGGGGGCAGGCAGGGGGGGGACGTAGGCCACGGACAAAACTAACAAACGCTGCCTTGAGACTTAATAGGGCTGGATCAAACTAGAGGGCAGGGAGAATGTGTGTATATATAGGAGAGGTTCAACTTCAGATGTGGTTTGACTCAAGTTAGGAAGGGGTGACAAGGTGTGGTAAGCATGTGTGCATGAAGGTGGAGCCATTGGTTTTTGTGGAGTGGGTTGTCTGCTGGGACTGCTTTTCTTACCTTTTTTTTTTTCTAATCCATTCATGCCAGGAGTACGCTTTCCTGGTGCGACGTCCATTGCCGGCAATGGATGCACTTGAAACAGCCGGCATCAAGGAGTTCCCTCTGTGTTATGCATGCAGAGGACTTAATTTTGTTCACTCTAAAAAAAAATAAAAATTTCAAGCTGGTACCAGGACCGTAACTAACTGTGCCACCTGAGTATAACTGTACTGTACCTTCTGCTTAGTTCATTCTCTTCCCTTCTTCATACTTAAAAATACTGGTTCCCTGTTCAAAGTAATAATACTGCAACCAACCAGTATTACTCAGTGTAGTGCTGCAACAAGCTGTGAAGGTCAAAGTACTGCTTCCTGGTACTTGAGAGTAGTTCAGTGGCATCCTGGAAGCGTGTGCATCAAAAGTCTTTTTACTTGTCTGAATTTTCTTCTGTGAGTAGTGCTTCCGTGGGGGGAGAATTAATTTGGGGTTTCTGCTTTCTTTCTGTGGATGTTTCACGTTTTACCTATAAAGCCCCCAAAGGCACAAGATCTGTTTCCCTTCATCTGGTTTTGATGTTTACAACATCTTTGTTTGTCAGCAAAGGTGTAGGCAAACTGAAGAAGTCCTGGTGGATGAAAGACAGTGGCCAGATGACTGGGTTCCAACAGTTCCTCAGATGTTTGTGAGTGGCTTCTTCCTCCTTTTAATTCCTTTTAACTAACATGCAGGCTCCATAAAACTACAGGAGAAAGAGGGCTCACAGTTGTATGTGTGATGGGAAGAGAAGGGGAAAAGGGGTCCCTGCTGGTCAAGTTAATCAGAAAGCCTCTGCTTTCTACTCTAAATGAGTGAGGAGAGGAGGTTCCTGGATACACCAAATATGGGAGAGGAAAAGCATGTCTCTGTATAACAGAGCAGTCACAGGCCTGAAGCAGTAATGGGAGAAGGGCAACACTTCATGGCAGAAGAACTGATCAACTGAAAGCAGCACATGGTTATTTAATTGATTTAATAAGTTTGAGGTCGGTTTTTCTCTTAATGTTATGCAAGAGCTGGTTTTATTTACCATTGATTTCCCTCCTGTGGATGAAATAACTGAAGTCTAGAGGAATAAACTAATGCTACTGAACTGTTAAATTATTTTGTGTTTAATATTACACTTTGAGTATCTTTTTTCCACATAAAATCTGTTTCTGAATTTACAAATGTTTTCTTTACATTATTTAACAATGTACACTGTAAAAAGGCAAAAAAGAAAAATAAACTGAATTCAAACTCTGGGCTTCCCTGGCCGTAGTTAGTTGTATGTTTTGCACTAAATCCAGGCATTGCGCTTCTTGTATGATTGCGCTTTGTGCTGCAATTTGTTACCTTTGTAGAATATTTAATGAAATCATTCAAATAAAACAAACCTGCTTTGGTTGAACTGTGGGTTTTCATTTTCAGCTGGTTCCTACCTCTTCTGTCTCCTTTCTCTGGATAACTATCTGCAGGTGGGTTTTTGTTACCCAGCTCCTGGCTAGTTTCCTCAGGAAAGTACCTACTTTAATGAGACCCCAAACTTGTCAAAAGCAGTGGTCAGAAATAAGTTTGACCTTTCAACAAACTACTCTGAAAATAAGCAACAGTAAAAGACAGTTCATAGATACTGATGCAGAAAGTCATTGACCCAGCAAGTCAAAAGAGTCTTGGCTAACAAGTAAGTTAGGCAACAACACATTTCTGGTGTGGTATAGGTTGGCTTCAGTATAGTTTTCCTGCTCCAGAGACAGATGGTTGGACAAGGTCTAAATAGTTGGCATTAACCCCAGGGGATTGGCAAACTCCCCTGTCTACTGTAATCTCTGGGTCCTAGCTAATTTTTGGAGACTTTGTGCTGCCTCTTAGCAACTCTGTCAGAGAGGAATCTGTCCCTGATGAAAAGGGGTTGGCAGAAGTCAGCCTTTGGTTAGTTCTACATTTCTTTCTGTATCCCAACCCCCTTGCTTGGAAACTAAGCTAGAGGGATGTGTGCCTACAACACTGGGGTGGAAACCCTGGTGAAACAGAGCCCAGATGAACTCCATCACAAAGAATTCTTGCTATTGTCAATAAACATAGAGCATCAAGCTTGCTTGGCTGGTCAGGGTCCTTCAAGCAGCTGTAGTTGGAACTAGCAAAGAGCTGTCTGAGAGGAGTAATATCTTTACTAGGAATGGGGTAAGAGGCATCTTTGGAATTGCAAGGAATCTCCATGTCTGCTCAAGTCATTCTCTGTCTCAGTGGGATTTACATGTCCTTGAGGCAGTGTGGTAAATGGCCATTTCAGCAACTCTTGGTAGCAGTTAGGTCACATGGGCCCCTAGTGTCTTCTGGAGGATGGCAAGTGAGGTGTTTTTAAACAGTAACAATTTATTAGATATCCTTTCTTTAGGAAAGCTTTTGTTCATGCTGTTGTAGGCTGGGATCCTGTAGGACTCCCTCCTTACTTAGGGTTCTTAAAAGCCCTCCAAAGAGGATGCAAGCTTTGGAGGTGGGCTTTATGATGCACCAAGGTGGGGCATCTCTCCAGTCTTGAACCAATGGTTCTGCATGCACTTGGGTTCCTATGACTACAGCTTTTTTTCCCAAAAATTAATCTTGTGGCTCAATCCTCCATTTTCTTTTTGTGATCCAAACATGCTCTTCCTTAACAGCCTTTGCCTTGGCTTAATGTGGGATGCATGAGCACTGACTGTAGTAAGTAATGAGATTTTTCTTGACCAGTGTCATAAGCATTCTCTTCCCAGGGATGGGCTGGGAAGCGACAAAGGCAGGCTATACATTGACACTTTAAACAGGAGTGGTCAGCTTCAGCTACCCTCAGTTTTATGAGTAAGGCAATGAAGGCTACTGGCAATTTTATAGGCAGGTGTGCTGGCAAGGAGGCAGCTTCATACAGTCAATCAGGTTTTGAGGCCACTTGGGTATATTCAGTTCTACATTTTGCTGCTGCATACTGTAGTGTGTGTGTGTGTGTACACTTGGAGGTGGGGGGGAAGACCTTTTGAGGGGTGGGGGATCAGTTTTTTTTTGTTACTGGAGAAAAGTGATTCTGCTAACAGGGAAAGAGCATGGTAAAGCTTGCTTTCAATTTCAGTGTTGTGTATCTGACTTACTGTTTAGTTATGAGACAGGACATGATTATGATTCACTGTCATTAAGACTAATCTTGTACTATACTATCACTGCTATGTGGGCAAGTTCTTGCCTTAAGCAGAGCACTTGCCACTCTGGCAGGCGATTTAAAGTTAGGACTGGAGTGGGCGCATCTATTTGAGATGCTTCATGTGCACTGGACTAATTCTTCTACACACTAGTGCAGCTGGCAAAAACCATGCTAATGCACAGATTTAGTCCAGTGTGCATTAAGCCTCACACAATGTTTGTCTGCACTAATATGCAGTAGTGCTAATTATGGTACATTTAAGTTGGTACCTGTTATTACAGGTACTAACAATGCACCGCAATTACAGTGCATTAATGAACGTGTAGATATGTTCAGTAACTCCTATTCTTTGCTTCTAATGCTTACCCCATTTCTCCTAATTATGCTTCATCCCACATGTTTAACTAAAAGTGTGTAAACCTCTTGCATCTCCCCTGGTGTTGCAGGCAATGGTGTGATGGATTGTTCTCCTTCCTTAAGCTACAAGCTGGGAGTAGAAAACAAAATACTTGAGGTTTGGGTTTCTGTTTAATTTCAGACTTGTCACTAGGTTTATAGCACTAATCTGCTTTGTGCTTCAGGAAGAGGGAGTTGGGTTGTCAGGCTGAGTAGCATTAAACCACAAGAAGTCAGTGTAGTAGAAATCTTCCTTTGTCTAGAGGACCTGTCATGTATTCAAGATAAATGTGTTGTTGACCCACTTGAACAGCTACAACATTTATTCATGTTTGCCATAATAAAAAGGGGGTAAAAGTTCATATAAAAACAAATTGGTAAAGGAACAGAACAGGTCAATCACATTGCTTGTACAATGGACCTGGCCAAGCAGAACTTTAATACAGGGTGAGCTCAAATGATTCCTTCCCCAGTTTGACTTTACTAAACACTATTTGCCTTCAAAAGGGAAATGCTTCCTCTACAACATGAAACTGCAAAGGAATGACCCCCCACCCTCACCCTTCACGCATTTCATCCTAAGAACCAGTTTCTTAGAATGGCACAAAGGAACTTAAAATTACTGCTTTTATGACCTGATACAAGCCATGAAGCGAAGAGCCCTTCCACAGCATCTGAATCTGGAATCGGGGAGAAATGCATTTGAAACGTTTTTGACCACACACAAGGGGGTGTCAAGCCCATGACTGTGGGACAGCTTCCTGTCCTGCATTCATAGTTAAGTTTATGCAGCACCAAAGGAAGGGCCTGGTCTGCTTGATTACCTTCCTCATACCACTGAACAGATTGTCTGGAAAAAATGACAGATCCAGAGGCAAGAAGTCAGGAGCTGCTGTCATTCCTTAGGTGGGTTCCAGCTTCCTTTTCTTCATACCTTGGCTCCTTCTGTAGGGGCTGCAGTCTGCTAAACAGGAAGACAGCTCGTTAGAATTGGACCAATAGTTCTTGTGCTTTTCTCCACTGCTAAAACTGACCTATTTCAGGTTAAGCAGGAGAGGGAATGGCAGGATAGCTAGGTTCCTTCTTTGGCAAATGTAGAAGAGGAAGTTCTCACATTGGTTGTAAAAGCTTAAAGCAGCTTGGGTGAGAACAACAATAGGTATGTCTGAGACAGAAGCTGGTTAGAAAACTTGTCTGTGAACAGGATGCTTTTCTGGTCACCCTCCAAGAATTGCACTTCTCTAATCAAGAGTTGCATCATTGACCTTTGCAGATATTACACAGCTCCACCCACCTGCTGCATGCTGGTTGGCACAATGGCTAAAAGTCCTCTGCTCGGCAGACACTTGCCAGGGTGTAGGCCTTGCACATGGTTTGTGATTGCTCATCTTCTGAGGAGTCTTGCTCCGAGTAGTCATGTGATGCTGGCCAAGAGGGGTTGCAGGAGCCTGTGGCTGGGCTGGCATATCTGCCACTTTGTGGCTAGCAGCATCACTGAGACTGGTGGCCTCTAGAGGAATGTCCCAAAGTTCAGGGTCATCTGGAACAATTCAAATAGATATGCCACAATGAGGGAAGAAAGCTGTGACATCACAGGGATAGAAATCTAACACCAGCACAACCCCTTCCCAGACAATGGCAAATGGAGAAGCTAAAACAAAACCTTGGCAGTTTTTACAGCAATGGGAAACTAAGTGACCAGCATCTGAAAATAAATCTGTTGCTCTGTGTGAGACTAACAGTGGTAGTAAAAAGGGATAGTTAAGCCTGCATCGCTCCTCAAGCTCTTGGTAGGGGGTGGGGAGGGAAATACTGGAACACCCAAGATGAGGGGGTGGCTCCCAAAGATGTTGCTAACCAGAAAGCTGATTATTCCTGCCACTTCTAGCACCTGTGTCGATAACTGCTGGAAGAGTAAGCTTCTCTGAGCAGGAAGGGTCAGAGTGGTACCTGTCCCAGTCAGTGTGGGGGCAACTCATTCCCACACCCCTCCATCTTGGTTTTTCTCCAGACTATGACTATCAAGAGCATAAGATTCTGCAGCTTGCCACAGCCAAGCCCATCCCCTTGTCCTCTTCTCCTAACACCCTGATAGGGCTTGCTTGCCCACCAGAGTCAATGCTGTTTGCCAAAGCTTAGCTGCCATGTTTTGCTGACCTGCAAAGAACTCCTCTTCTGCAGTTGGTTCCTGTTGTGCTGTTACTGGAGTGCTGTGCTTTACAGGAGGAGCTGGTGGCACTGAGTAGCATGGGTAACAAAGGGGAGAGATTCATGCAAGGAAATGCTGATGGGTACCTCCACCTCCCACTCCCTCCCTGTTTTAGGAGAAGAAAGTGAATCTGTTCAAGACAAGTAGGAAGGACTAGCCACCTGACTGCCAATCCCAGCCTCTTGTTAGAAATGGGGGGCGGGGGGAAGGAGAGGTAGGATAAGGACAAGTGGACTACCCTGAGGTTTCCTGCACCAGGAATTGAGGTATGCTACTTTCAGCCATGCTGCCTGACAGTATGAATACCCAAATTTTCCCTATCGCGACACAGTGGCAACTTTTGCCAACAGATGGGGATACACCCGTGTTAATAGTAGTGACAGCCAATGGCTGCGTTATAGAATGCTCTAGGCTGATCAGAGCATTGCAGTTCGGGTGTGGGCCTACCTCTCTGCCACTTCGTAAAGAACCTATGCTTGCTTAATAGGCAACTAATATCTAGTCTCTTCTTCCTTTGATCTCTCTCTCTCCTCTAGCTCTCTTCAGTAAGTAAAATAGTGGCAGTTAGGAAGCCAAGAAAGGGTCCTGCACAACTACCTCCCCTAGGTGGATGGTGTTGGAGCTGCCAAGTCTCACTATGCATCATACCCTGTTTGCAGACTGGAACAGCTATTGGGATCTGAAGTTTTTTCTCCATCTGCTCCCGGAACTGCTGCTGTAGCTGCTTCTGCCGCAACTTCCGCTGGTAAGTAGCATCACACTCGGTGGCTAAAGAGTCTGTGTTTCTGCTCCCACACAATAAATGCACCATAAACAATGTGACTTCAGCAGGTTTAAATTATGTACAGTAGGGATGTAAACATCAGTGAAAGCAGGGAAAATAGAATAGTTAGTTTTGCTATGGTGCCTTCAGCACAGAAGTCTTCAGATGCTTTAGAAGCACTGCCTGTTTGCTAACCTCAAAGATTTTGTGATCGTGACATTACAGTTTCATAAATAGGAAAATGTTACTGGGGAGGCTAAAACTTGTTCCTGCAGGAGGTCTGTGGGTAGAAACCAAATCCTCTGACCCTGAATCATGAACGCAAACCTCATTCTTACCCCATGTCCCACACTCCAGGAGCAGAGGCTGGTTTGAATGCTGCCTGCTGACCACATCAAAGGATAGGCCCTGCAAATTCCAGGCCTCAAACCATTGCAGGCACTGGAAGTGCAGACAAAAATAGACCCAAGTACTTTGCTTTTGTACAAGTAAGAGTCTGGGAGCCTCATGATTCTGCTCCCACCCACTGAAGCACTGCAAAGACTCCTTGATTCTGCCACAGATGGGTAGTACAGTAGGCTCTAGAGACTCCCTTAGGACCAATTGTGTCCTATGAAAACACAATGACTCCTCTGGAGGGAAATATGGTGTAACAATCATGGCTGAAATATACGGAGTGAAATACTGCCTGCGTTAAGGAGACAAGATACAGAACACTGCCTGTGGAAAGATCCACCTCATAGCCATCAAATGACAGAAGGGGAGGTTTACAAAGGGCTGGATTGAATTTCTTTTAAATCTTAGAAGTACAGGGTGAGTGTCTACTGGGACTTGATGGGGGAGGGCGGGAGGGAGCAAAGTGTGTATATTTCATCTCAGCACCAAGGAACACCTGAATGTGGTATAAGCGCTTATTTTTAGCACAGTATAAATGAAGTACCAGACCTCTTGGGGTAACAGTCCCACCTGATGCTGTGTGGATGGTCCTGTTCCATTCTGTTCAAGGAAGCTTCTGCCTGGTCAGATTTGCAAGAGAGCGCCATCTCACACTGCTGCTGCCCTGCACTCTGCTTCTGCAAACAGCTGTTGTATCTTGCCTTCTCTATTGAGGGCTCAAAGTCTTGCCTTTTAGCTTTGGCCACATCCAATGCAGGGAAAATCTAGTAAAAGAATTGGGAGGAAAAAAATCTATTCAGAAATTTTCCTTCCCTTATCAACTTGGGTAAGCCCCCACAAGCCTTGCCTACCTGGTGCAGTTACAGCAATTTAATTGTTTTGCTCTGAATGCAGCCATTTATCTGTAACTAGCTGGGATGGATCCATGCAACTGTGCGAGTTTGAATGAGCAGCTCAGCTATGGTACATAAACCATAGTGTACTGTTCTACATTGGTTATGCTCTTATTTTTAATTTTTTTTGCATATGCCTTCTGGGAAGCCACAAGAAGTCTAGACCTAACAAAGTCCTATGATTCATTTTGATTTCCATTAATTTGGTTGGTGAAATATTCAAACTGATGTCAGACTGCATGAAGGAGCTAGCAGGAAATGGTGTAATCATGAGAAGCCTTAATATGAACAGGCTAAGGCACCTCATTTTGAGCTTTGCAGGCTGATGGACTTAGGTCTGTGGTTATATAAGACTGTTGATGCCATGGCAATAAGGTAAATAGAGGAGGAAGAACATGGATTTAGCTGAGCGATTACACTGACAGGCATGTGCCTGGAGCACCTTTATTATGTGGCATGCTGCTTACAGGCTCAGCTGAACAGCACCGACTGGCCTAAGAAGGTAATGGGACAAAGCCAGGGTAACAGCTCTGGTGGCAGAACTTTAGGATGACACAGGCAGCTTTCCTAGAAACCTTAGAGGAGCAGCTGTAGCAAAGTAACAGGTGTGTCCTTAGTAACATGCTTTGCAACACTATCTGGAGGCTTGCCATGCCTCCCAACTGCAATGTATCACTAGCTAATACCAATGGTGTTGGTCAACTGGTAGGGGTGCTGTCATAGAGATTTGCAATCCTAGGAGTTCTGCTGTGCTATGCCAAAGCCTGCCAGTGCACAGGAGGTCACCGGTTTGAACAAACAGAATTCACTTAACTGTTCTTTGTCCCCTCTCCACATAAGGTCAAAGACTATTGACTGGAAGAAGTGTGTTATGATGCTGAAAGGCCTGCTAAATTGCTGCAGTGGACACCAAGTATGGTTTGGAAAGGTGACTGCTGCTTCTTCTTTAGACTGCTTCTGAGAATGAGCAAGGGAACTTTAGCACCGCAGAAAATTGTGAATGTTAATGGAATTAAGTGCCGCTCGTTTATAGAGGATAAGCTGTGACTAGAGGGTTTGGGCTTCCTAGATGGCTGGACAAGCTGAAGTGGCAGCTTAACTTCATGCTGAGTAAATGCAGAATGTCTATGGAGTCTGCCTGTAGAAGGCTAAAGAGAGCTGTAGTGGATTCAGAGAAGCCTGGATGTTTCTCATTTTTCTGCATCTTGTATGATAGGTGCCTGCTTATTTTGCATAACACCTATATGTCCAACAAATCCTGAAAGATGGCTGGGAGCAGAAAGTCGCTCAAAATTAGGACAGCTAGAAAAGGCCTCTTGCAATAACATCCAAATAGTCAATTATGCACGATACTACTTCAATGAAAGCAGAGCAGTGCAAGTTTAAGACCAACAGGAGTGAAGTATTACAAGGAGGAATTGCTGAATTCCTGAAGGTAATGTATATAAAAGGTTTTCAGTCTCTTGTGGGGGTGGATGCAGTAGGAAGGTTCTGAAATTAGATTCACTGAAACAGAATCACAGAAAATTAGAGTTGGAAAGGACCTCAGCAGGTCATCTAGTCCAACCACATGCTCTCAAAGCAGGACCATCTCCAACTACAGGGCTTTGTTGAGTCAGGCCATAAAAACCTCCAAGGATGGAGATTCCACCACCTCTCTAAGTAACTTGTTCCTGTGCTTCACTGCCCTCTTCGTGAGAGAATCTTTCCTAATATCCAACCTAACCTTCCTAAATGAGCCCAATTCCCTCAGCCTCTCTTCATAAGCCATGTGCCCCAGCCCTACTTGTTGCCCTCTGCTGGACTCTCTCCAACTTGTCCACATCCTTTCTGTAATGGGAGGCCCAAAACTGGACACAATACTGGGGAATAATTACTTTCCCCAGTCTGCTGGCAACCATGCCCCTAGTAGTGCAGCACAGTATGCTAATCACTTTCTTGGCAACAAGGGCACACTGTTGGCTCATATTCAGCTTATTGTCCACTGCAATCTCTTGGTCCTTTTCTGCAGAGCTGCTGCTTAGCCAGTCAGTCCCCAGCCTGTACTAGTGCATGGGCTTGTCTGTCCTAAGTGCAGGACTTTGTACTTGCCCTTGCTGAATTTCCTGAGATTTCTTTTGGCCTAATCCTCTAATTTGTCTGGGTCACTCTGAACCCCAGCCCTATCCTCCAACATATGTACTATACCCCTCAGCCTGGTTGTATCCACAAACTTCCTGAGGGTGCACTCCATCCTATCTTCTAGACAGGTATTGAAGATATTAAACAAAACTGGCCCTGGACCAACCCCTGTGGCACTCCACTCACTTGATACCAGCTGCCAGCTAGGAAGTGAGCCACTGATCACTACTGTTGAGCCTGACAATCCAGCCAGATTTCTATCCATTTTACAGTCCATTCATTGAACCTATACTTCCTTAATTTGCTTGCAAGGCTGCTGTGGGAGACTGTATCAAAAGCCTTACTAAAGTCGAGGTATATCATGTCCACTTCTTTCCCTGCATCCACAGAGCCAGTCATCTCATCATAGAAGGCAATCGGGTTGGTCAGTCATGACTTGCCCTTGGGGAATCCATGCTAATTGTTCCTGATCACTTTCTTCTCCAAGTGCTTAGAATATTGTAGTACTTAACATTTGTAATTAAATGGTCTCTATCATGGCTGCTTGCACAGTCTTCCTTTCCAAGGCCATGCGTTCCATTTTGATCACTTGGGAATACTCCAGCAAAGCTTCTTTTCACATCTGCTTTCCTGATCCTATGTTGCAAGACATTAAACATTTCATGTTAGCGTGTCATTAACTTTTTTTTTTCCTTGTAGAGATATTTTTCAGAGAAGCAGTTAAACTCCTTTGAGTGACTATAGGGGCTAGGAAGAACTAGAAGAAGCAAACGTACATGCTTCCCTACTTCTCGCAATCGTCATATTGAAATGTTTCATTTTCTACTGTGTCCTTTTCCAGAAGGAAAGCACTTTTCAATTTACCTTCTTATGCCATAGGACCCCTCTACTTTTCTGAAGCTGTGCGCCTAACTTCTTCATTCTTGTATGAAATGGGGGCTATAAGGCACAAGCTTGGAGACCTCATTAAAAGGTGGGTGTGGGGTGTTGGACTCTGCACTTTTGCACACTGCCTTACACTGAAGGATGTTATCTGGAGGACCCCAGGAGGTGGAAGTGCCTTGTTCCAGAGGTCATTCAGTAAATGTGGAAGACAAGCAGTGCAAGGATGGTTCCATCTCCAACCTGGTCAAAAACGTAAGGAGAATGCTGTCTCTTTAGGTAGTGCTAATGATTTGGTTTTGCCAGGTAATATCTTTGCCTTAACTTTCTTCGTTGTTGGAACAGGTTGGCAAAAAGTGTCGAGCAAAATTTAGGGTTCTGCAGTGACTTATACTACACCCAACTGCATTATAATGCCTTAAAAGTATCTATATATTTTGAAATGCCTCAGAACCATTTAGGGGAATCTCTAAAGTTCTGTAAACACTGAGTGCACTGAGAAGAATGTGGACTAATTTGTTTTTAAATGTTCTGTATTTGGGCTAAAACAATGACATGTATATTGTGTTTTGCCTCTCTTAAACCTGTTTTGTAGTAATAACAGGAAAATACTGTAGGTGCAGGTAAATCAAACAGCTCAAGAAGTAAGCAGTAAGTATACCTAATGGTTGAGTGATTTCACACTGCAGAGAAACCTCCAAAGAGGTTTGATTCTCCATCAAAGAGACCTTACCAAGTAAAAAGGGTATCCATGGCAGGCTTGGAGCAGAGAGCAAGGAGAAAGCAGATCAGCTATGGAGCAGGGTATAGACATAGATTGTTTGACTGGCAGTTGTCATTTGTGGGATGAGATGCAGCAGAAAAAACAAAATATCTAGCCTGAATACAATAGAGACAATGCTGGGCAGGAAAGGGTTAAATGGTGAGACAGCAGATGCTCCAAACTCTGCCCAGTGCTATATTGCACAGTTTATAACTAAGGAAAGCAGTTTAAGTCTTTAGATAGATGTACTGTGATACAATTTGTTATTTTTTGACACTGCTTCCCATGCAGCAGTGTCAGGTAGGGTGTTGATATAGCAGTCCTCCATAGCGGTTCTCATACTGCTGTCCCCGTGGGGTTTTACCCTTATCTGCTGAGACAAAGATGGCAGCTGCCCCAATAATCCTGGTCAATCCAATAGTATATTTAGGTTTCAGGTTGCTGTTGGTGGTTTAAGATAGCTATGTTCTTTGCAGTGCTTATTCACATCACTCTTAGCTTTAACAAAATTAGGTCTACTGCTCTTAGTACGGATTAAGATACCTTGAGATGCCTCCACTCGAACTCCTGTTCTTTGATTCAGCACTTGGGAGTGTCCCATCAACCTGCTTTGCTATGACAGTGGCCTGCAGATGTCTGTGTTGCCATCATTTTTCTTTAGGTAGGACAGGATGTGCATTTCTCCAAGTACAAGCTCTTTGAAAGAGTCCATGCAGAAACATGTGGCAGGGAGGAATGGCTGCTTGCAATGGGCAGGTGAACTCCTTACTGTTGGTAGGCATCAAGGAGTGCCCCTTTTCTACTGTGAACAGTCATTGCCTCCTTGGGTCCACAATGATTATAGCCTTTTCCCACATTGGGCACATACTATAGCCAGTTAAATCCTTGCAAGGTCTTCTCTGGCCCGATAGTGCCTGCCCATATTTAAAACAAAAATAACATCTGGTCCAGATGCTCTCAGAGTAGAGAGCACACAGGGAAAGAGAGGTCAAATCTGGTGTGAAACAGTTCAGCATGGAATACTAGCTGGAGGACTGCCACCAGCACAGTATAGAGGAACTGGTCCACATGAACCTTAATGAAAACTGGCTTAGTGCAAAAGTGGATTTATTTCTGTTCCAAGGAGGATTATTTCCTAAAACTTATGGTGTCAAATAAATTACTATAACAACAGTTCTGGTGTGGGTACAGGATACTTCAGCACAAACTAACAAGTGTTAGTACAATAGCAACGCTTCGAGGTACAGCATCTTGTAGAAGTATTTCTTGTTTTTCTTCTCTATCAGTACCTCTCTAACTCTTCTCAAAGGGCATACGTCTAAGAGAGAATGGCAATGTGCAATTGATACTAGCATTGGACATTTCCTATAACTAAATGAACTGCAGTTAACCAGGTCAAACAGCCTCCTTTCACTGAAAAGCCCCAAAATAATTTATCCCCAAACTTTTTCAGCAAAAAACAAATCTTACCATTAAACCAGATTAAATAAAATTAGATTAATTAGAAGTAAGTGTAAATGATTCCCATACACCAGCCCACACCCATCACTAGACCTGGTGATAGATACCTCACACTCACACGTGATAGACTACTAGATAGGTGGGAATATGAGCATTATGGGTTACAGTAGGTAAGAGTGTCACAAGAAGAGAACTGTGATGTTAGATTGTATTAACAAGGGTACTGTATATTAAAAAAGGTAAATGTTGTTTTTCACTACCTGACCCAGGCTAGCTCAAGTTCTCCAGTCCCACCTGGATTACTAGTCTAAGAGAGAAACTGGAGAGTGCCCAAAAGACACCAGACATCAGGCTGAGAGCTAGGCCTGGTTAGCATCTGCTGGAGAAGAGAGAAGGCTGCATACCAAAGGGTATTCATCCTGTTCTGTTCTGATGAAGCATTAGGCAGCACTTGACCTCTGGAACAAAAGGGCCTGGAAACAAGATCTGTAAGTCTGCACCTTTGGCTTCAGTTCCTCCTCCTAATTTCATCATGACATGTTTTTAGTTTTAACCATTAAAGTGACCTGTTACTCTAGCTGCCTCTGACCAAACCAGCAAAGGCCAAAGGACCATCAGAACCAGTCAATCTTAAAACAAGCTGGACCTGCACAAATTTGGGGATGTACAGTTTTTACATTTAATTTCCCAGGAAGCTTCAATACTGTATTTCAGTTGCAATGTAGTGCTGAGTAAGTCCATATAAATCAACGGTTCCAAGCCCACTCTCACAATTTCAATATGGCACCTTACGGTTCTTATGAATGCTTTATTCTGTTTCCTATTTTAAGGGAAAGAAAACCCAGGTCTCTATTTCCATATGTAAATTTCTAGTAATCCCCTCAGATTTCTGCAGCAGACTACAAACTCTGTGGTATCACCAAGCATAAAGACTCTGGAAGGTTTTTACTATAATGAAAATGAATATTACAATCAGTGTGGTCAACTGCAAAGCTGTGTTGACATTAAATCCAATTCTACTGAGCACCTCTATTTTCAGTTATCTGTATACTGTACATTTATATATGGCAACACAATATGGCAAATGATATAACTAGAGCAGGGGTATCAAACTTATCTGGGACCCTGGACCAGATCTGGGTTGCAAGGGTCCTTGCAGACTGGATCCAGCCCAGGACACAAGGGCAGCTGCTGTGGCCATTGTAGCAGCAGCAGTGAGGGGTCCAGAGTTGGTGGTGACAGTGAACCAAGCTCACTGCTGATGGCTGTGGCCAGTGGGGCCAAAAGGCCCTGAATTCTGCAGCAGACCACACTGCCCAAGCTTTAAGGGACCCACTGGTAGCCTGTTGGCCAGCTAGAGTGACTTTGCAAACTGGATCCAGCCTGTAGGCCATATGTTTCACACCCCTGAAGTAGAGCTTTTGAATGCTTTGAAAAGGAGAAAATATTATGCACACTACAGTAACCACAGTGGTCTGAGATGCTGAATACATGTGCACCTAGGGTGGCAGCTACACTGACTACAAGATTAGGATCTTTTGAATAGCAGTGTCCATCAGGGTTGCATATACACCCTGCTTCTCCTCATGCACTTAGGTTATAAAGGGTGGATTTGCTATGATTGTGTTTCAGTTCCCTCTCACTTTGAAGCCCATGGTAGGTGAGGACTATGAAAATGAGACTGGGTGGGTTGTTGGATCCATGCTGACCACATTATCATTGTTATCATGCAGCGAGCAATTTTTCTTTTCTTTGAACATGCATTAGTGTGGAATCCCAAAGCAGGTGACTGGCAAACAATGCATCTTAGGATAGTGAGAAGGCGTGTCAATTACTTTGGTCAGAGAAAGGAGTGTTGTCCTCCCAAACTTGGTCCTCAATCCAGCAGCTACATATAGAGAACAATTCAGATTATCTAATAAGCAGCCAAGGTAGGCCGTGGAATCATCACTGGAGACAGAGCTGAAACCACACAATCAGCTATCAAGGATAGTTTAAGCATAATTGTTTCATTTCCTTTCACTAACTTCACTGGACCAAAGACTAACTAGAGGCTCCTTATAACCTCAATTTTTCTGCTTTTCTTTTCTTCAAAATTCCACCTACCGCACCTGACGAGGAAGTTTATTCACTGCTTGCAGGTAGTCTTTGTCCAGGATGCAGTTCCCAAGCACATTCCCAAAGCACCTATGGGATAAGAGAGCACACCATGACTAAGAATTTATCATCTTATTCTTACATCACCTCCAATGTGTGCAAGTTATAGCATTGCGCACTGATACCCACTTACCTGAGTGCCCTCTTCAGTCCATCTGTCACTGCTTCCTTTCTTGCCTTCTCTAGAGACAAGGCCTTAGATTTCAGGCCCTCACTCACTCCATATCCCACATCTTCATGGTATGACCCATCCTATGGCATGAATTAAAAATACTGAATAGGCTCACTTGTAGTCCTACAAATTTACATCTCTGTGTGCCAATTTTTGTTTTCATGTACAACTGATTATAAGTCTTGACATCTCATGTGGATTCAGAGTAGAGTGGATTGGTATGTTATAGTAGGCTTAGCTTTCCAGGAACCCCCAGTAACTTAGTGAATTGCAATCTAGTTCCATGCTTATGACTATACTGTCAATCATGGTTCTAAGCCACTATAAGATCAGCAATAGATGTAGCAAATAAAAATTCATCAACCTGCCTTAAGTTGAACTTTAACAAATGCACAGACCCCCACGTAGAATCTGCCATTGTTCAGGTCAACAAAATCTGGAAGATTGAAAAGAAGTTACTGTTAATACAGTTATTCAAACAACATGGCACATGGGGTGAAACTTCTGATACATTCAGCTTTGTGGGAAGCAAGAAGTTAAAAACCAGTAAAAGGGAACTTATTCATAAAAGTGCGAGGGGCAACACATTTGCAAAACGTACAAAGTACCAGGGGCACCCCTGTTTTAGAGCTGAGAGCTTGGCATTGCAGAGTGTATTTGCCTCTTCTTCAGGGGTGACATACTGTGTAGACATTCTCCAAAAGTAGAATCTATTTGGACAATTACTTGAACAATGAATAATTATTTACCCTAGAAGAACAATGTTTCTTCAATATTTATTTTTCATACAGATTCCTTGATCTACTTTTCTTTCTTGCTACTTCAGAGTTTTAACCCCATGTGATTCTGTATTAGTGAAGGGCCCACCCTACCCTTTGTCTTTGGGTGGATATCATGGGAAAACCAAAGATGCAAGTTCAGCCTTGATGGACTTTGGCCAAAAAAATAAATAAAAAAATCCAGTTTCCTGGGTTTGGGGTCCACAATAGAATTTGGAGTGCATCTTTGAGTGACTGTTCACATAGCCATTGTTAGGGTAAATAACTGTCCTTCCCCTTGTCTCTTGCTGGGACCTATTAAGTTTAAGAAATGTTTGTATCCGCCTGTTTCAACACTACAGTTCCCTGCAGAGAAAGAAAGTAGAAGAGCTGAGGCATTACCTGCACTACAGGCTTCTGCTCCATTTCTATATCTTGCCAATTCCAGCTAAAATGGACTTACCTGGCATTGTGTTAACCTCCTTAGGTGTAAAAGATCTACTAGTCTGAGAGCGATCTGGCAGCATGCTTCTCAGATCTTTGAAACACAGGGGCACGACTCTGGGCTTCCTGAACAGGCCTTGTTACTGAGGGAGTCGGCACAATTGCACTAAGACACCTGGTTTAGGCGCTCCTGAACATAATTCTTGCACCAGACTTAAGAAGATACAATGTCAGTGTTAAAAACTGCTCAATTTGAACCAAGCTGAGTTTCAGTGTAGAATGTGTTGAATGGATCTTAATAGTTTTTTAATAGCATAAAGAATCTGAGATTGCTTCTCTTCTCTACCCTAAAGGGTGAAACTGAGGCACAGACCACACACAACTTGGATGTGGCCCTTCAGACAGGCACTTGAAAGCTTTGTTCAGAGTCATCATGGTAACAATGCACGGTGCACATAAACTGAAACTCGTCTTTTGACTGGCAACAACTACAACAGAAGCTAAGAGGTGGGGAGAAATAACTGGACCTGAATATGAAATAGAGTGCTGGCCACAGCCTCAGAATAAATGGGTTGTGGCCAGTAGATTCATGCCCCTACAGCGAAGCAATAGTACTTCCTAAATATTAAGAAAGCAGTGAAAACTTAACTGAAACAAAAAACCACCCTAATTCAACC